CTGGGGACATATTGACTATTCGCTTGCATCATTGACTGATAGAATCAACAGTATTAAGAGATTCAGCAAATACTCTTCCAACATAAGTGTAATATTTATTCAATACGAACGATGATTAATTTCGATGTTACTTCACCTAAAAAAAATGCCGTCATAAATCTTTATGAGTCAGTGCGAACCAAGAGCACTGCTTCCTCATGATAATATTTGGAAAACCATTGACGTTGCTATTTGATCTTCGACGAATGGCATGTTGATGAGTGTTTGTGATAAACAAGTCCATTCTGATTAAAAAAATCCACAAAAATGACTCAAACCCGGAAGTGATTCAGTAGTAAATATGCCTATAAATAGCTGTGTGGTGCAATGATCAAACTATACCATATGCATTCCATGATACTTGTACGATTTTTTCTTTTGTTAACCTTTATGGCTGAAGGCATTCTCAGCCAAGAGTATGTTGATTCTCTCTCAGGAGGCAGCTGGCAAATTGTAGTTCCACAAAGTGGCGGCGGTGCACGTGGAAAAAGTTTAGGTATGCAAACTGTCCATGCAGTACTTCTTCCTTCCGGTCGCATTCTTCTGGCTAGTGGAAGCAGTTGGCGAAACCGTGGCCCCATTGAAACTCATCCGCAAATGAGTGATCCTCAAAATGGTCAAGGCATCTTTCGAGAAAAAGAAGATCCATTTCTATTCAACAAAATAGAAGATTATTATCAGCTTGTGAACAATGTTGGGATCTATAATCCGAACAAGAACACGTTCTATCGCATTCCACATCCAGAACCTGTTCCTGATCCTAAATGGCCTGGACATTTCGCACCAAATGATCTTTTCTGTACAGGCCACTTGCATGTTCCTGACGGCAATGTACTCTTTGTTGGTGGCACACAATACTATCATCCATTTCGAACAGGTCATCGAGCAACATACCTGTTCGATTGGCGAAAAGAACTCCAAATTCGATGGAACAATGTCGATTGGAGACATATGCCCAGTGTTACCTTTGCAAATGACTCGAGGAATCCGTGGACTTTTGCGGGTAAGTTACTTTCAGCAAACACTCATATGTGTGTTATATACATAGTGACGACAGAATTAGTAGTACCAAATAAATGATGATCATTTGTTTTTCCTTTTGTAGGCTTGATGGAACGGGGCCGATGGTATGCTACACTGGTACCATTGGTTGACGGTCGTCTAATTGTAATTGCTGGTTTCGTTGGCTTTGACACAGGCTATCCAGAGATGTATGCTTTTGAAAATAATGATCTCGTTGAATTTTTCGATGCCATAATGTTCAATGAATCAAATCCACAGAGCGCATGGAAAAAAGTTGATGTGAAATCGACCATCAACGGACCTTTTACCAATCTGATCAACCCTATTTTTCGACCGACGTCAGGTGTGAATTGTACGAGTCGTTGTATCAGAGACAATCAATATGATGTATTTAAACTTTATGAGCAAGCTTATCTTACAGCGCTAGGACGCATCTATTTAACTCGTGAAGGTGATTTTGTTAGCGCAAGAGCTCACGATACTGCTTTCATGCGAAAAACAACTGCTACCTATCACATGCATGTTAGTGGGTCTCGTCAAGTACCTAAAGTATCATTTTCACCGGGACCGAATCGGCCTGACAATGTCTCATCATACGGAACAACGATTCTCGATCCAAATAGTAATCGGATTGCTCTGTTCGGCGGACAACCAACATCACCCGGTACTTTTCTTTATCAATCGGATACTAGTCAAGGTAATGTAAATCATTAAACTAGAGCTATTTTTCCTATTTTTATTACTGTTTTTATAGGCAACCAGCGTTTCGCTGGTGGTCGCGGAAGTCGCAAACTAGAACAATTTCATTCTTCGATCTATGAATCGAACGGTGGTCATTGGACTTTAGAACCATCTTTTCTTGGTGAACATCCACAGGATGATCGAACCATGCACTATGCACTCCTACTTCCTACGTCGCAAATTCTCATTATTAATGGTGCAAACTATGATTTTTATGGATCGGTCCATTATCCAATTTTATTAACACCACAATTTGATAATGTCAATGGTGCATTTCTCGGCTACACGAAGAAGCGCATGAATGAAGGTGTCGAAGCTCGTCTTTATCATAACGTCGCTCTGCTATTACCAGATGGTCGTGTCTGGATTTCTGGTGGAGGATCAGCTCGTGCTACAATTCATTATAAGCCTTTGACCGAGAAACCTCTTGCTGAACATAATATCAGTTCCTATGAACAACCCATTGCCTGACACATCCAATATCGATTTAGATGTGGAAATGTTTGACGATGGTCGATTGGCAAAAAATTCGCGCGGTTCACTCAGTGTTCCTACCGAAACGTGGGTAGCAGAAATCTTCAGTCCTCCCTATCTATTCATTGATGGCAAACGACAATCAGTGATCGTTTCGTTGACTCTTCTTCGAACAGTAGATTATCAATTTGAGAGCATCATCGATGGGACACGCTACTATTTACTTCGAAGCAATTCACAATACATTGTGAATTTAAATCATCTACCAACGCAATGTGCTAATGGAACCAAAGAAAAATTGGTTCTGATGAAACTAGGATCGGCCACACACGGGTGGGACGGTGGACAACGTCTAATCAATCTGCCATTTACAAGAGTGACAGCAACATCGGCTCTTCTACTGACGACACTCGATGCACGAATAGCACTCATCACACCTGCATTCTACATGATGTTCTATGTTGACTGTATGGGAAAACCATCCGTTGCGCAGATAATACGATTTGATGACCAAGCTATGCAACCATAGATTGAACTTGTTTTTAAGATAAATTGAATAGAGTTTTTCAAAAATAAATAAGTCTTCTTGACACTGGTGCACTGCCCGGTTAAAAATTATTCTTAATAGTAGAAATTGCAAACATCGATATTAGAAAGTCAGTTGCGAAGTAAGTGAGCAATCGACTACAACGTTTCACATTTGATACATCAGCCATCTATTCTTCGATATAATTGTCGATTGGAATAGCGAGTTGAATTTGGTAATCACAAAAGTAAACGACAATCTATGTATTTCTAAAATTTTTATGACTCTTCATATCAATATAGAAGTCAAAATTTCTCGATCAATGCTCTACATGTCGTGTGACACTGGCTCTAAAGGTGTGAGTGTAGATGAATACTCCGGTTAATCCACATGCTCAGATCTAGATCCACGCCATGTCCACATTTTCACTCGCATACTTAACCATACATTCATACTGATCCACACATGCATACGCACACTCATACCCACAGATTCGACCAAACATACATCCACTCACACACCAACGTTCACACTCACACCTCATCCACCAACACCTGGGGACACATTTCCACTGCACACTCATACCCACTCCCACAATCTGAACTTTCCTCGTATTTTGATTATTTCTAGAAAACCAATAAGACGAAATTCGATTGTTTTGTATCCTAAGTACTTTTCAGACATTCTTCGGTCAAACTAGCAAATCAGCAAAGTTTTTTTTAACTTTTCCACGAAGAGTCTTTTCCCATGCGTTCACCTTCTTCTGAACAACACTCGAAGCGGTAACAAATGGAATTCGAAATGGTAGCATTCGTTTAATTGAGTGATCATCAAACGATTTCTTCTTTGACAAACGGCCACCACTTCGTCTATTAACTGTGTGAAAAAATGGCTAAAATGAAATTAGAAAACGCCTTATCATTTGTGCTTTTCTAAATTATTATTGATGAGGCTTCTTTTGTAGTTGACGATGACGATGACTAAACTAGCGCACATCGCAAAAGCAATAACATGTGCAAATGTCATCAAACGAAAGACATCTTTTTCTTCTCATTTAAGATTTTATGACCATTCGCCATCGAAAGAGTCTAGTACTTGACTATAAAATTTGTAATCGAACACATAGAATACATTCCATCTTTCCGTCTTTTTGCCTTCCAGATATTAATATTATGTGTCACTATTGGAAATCATGAAACAATTTCTATACAATGGCACAATATTCAATATCGTTCGTATAAAATGCTATCATCGATACAACTATTAATGCATAGAACGACTGTCACGACAGTATCAGCCAAAACAACAAGGAGCACAATTCAACAACTGTTCCTTTTCATAATCGTGATACCTGAATCCAATTGTCATTAGAGTCATCTGATGAGACAACATGAACATTGCCACAACCGGTCATGATAGTTCATACTTAGCTTCAAGATCTTCAACATATATTTAGGGTAGGCTTTATGTATTTCTCGCGGCTCCAAATCGTTTTCGTCAAATAGCTCGAGAACGTCAATTTTTTTATCACAAAATATCAAATGAACTTGATCCTAATACAAGGTTTCCGATTAGCCAAATATCAATACTTGGATCAAAGACTCCTATTCATTAATCTATGTCCGGTTATTAATCATCAATATTAGAATAAACAGACTCTTATTCAAAACAAATAACACATTCTTTTCTCATAATTAATAATCGTCGGAAGATTATATTAAAAAGTTCCTCGTAAATATTTTCTAGCCCTAAAAAATAACTTTTATTTAATAATTAAGTACATGCGTCACGTTTCATTTAATTATTTTTTAAACAGTTTTAGTTATCACAAAATAGATGATCGTAATTCTGGCAAGCGGATCATATTCATGAATATGATAATCTCTGAAAAATTCATATACGTAGTACTTGAAAATTGATATCAGTAGACAACTATTCAGCTGAAAAAAGAGAATGATACGAAAATCTTGATATACGCATCAACATACACTCAAAGGGTATCTTATTTAGTTAAAATCTATTTTTCGTTTGTATACGGACGGATTTCTTGAATGTATTAAAATTATTAAAGCATTGTTTGTAGTGTATAGGTAATTTCCAAAAACATTTTGCCATTTTTTGTTCAGTAATGATATAAAATGCGAGTGACCGATATAATAAATAATAAGTTCACTTCAAAATTTAACAAACGAATCATTCATTCATTCATTTTCTCGTCGATCAGTTTTTGAAATATATTGATTAATGCACCAGAACCCCACCGAGCAATTACATAACTTATAAAACCAAAAAGAATTGAAAATCCAACTGTAGCACCTGGTAAAGGAATAAATGTTCCGACTACTCCACCAGCTATTGACATTCCAAATGAAACCCCATTTGCAATTCCAGCTTGAATCAAACACTTTACATATTCTTTTGTGTCAATAGCACAGCCAGTGGCGAGGTAATCTTTAAGCTTCTCTTCGTTCTTTTTAACACATAAATATACAATCCACCGTATTGTAAGAAATGCGATTTCAACAACCAATGCAATACCAGCAGTGATTGCATTACCTGCAGAAAAAAAAAAAAATACATGGTTATTATTATTAGAATTCTTTTTGATAAGATATTGGTTGTATATAGAATATTCCCTTTCTAGTATTGTTTCTTTTTAATTAGTCTGACATTCATTTGTATAAAATCTGTATTTACCTGGTAAAGAAGCTTTAACGAATTCATTCAACGAAGTACTAGTAAGATTAGTGATACTGGATGGCATGAGCTTTTCACCAATATATATCACATTTGTCGAGAGTTCTACATGAAAAAGATAATAGATCTGATTAATAATTACAACAATCACTACAGGAAAATATATACGAACTTTTACTCCAACCCCATAAAAGCGATCCAAGAGTCATCGTGACAATACTAAACCTGTTGGTTAGAAGATCGTACTTTGCCAAGACTTGTTCGCTTGGCATACTTATTTCAACACAACAGTGAAATGCGAAATGTTCGCAGTTACGTTTTCCTAATGAATAAGAAGACCACTTTTCTTTTTGATTTGGATCATTATAAATTGAGATAGCATTCAAAACTATTAGTTCAGCCGGAAGAGCTGTTTGAGTATAACATGAACCACGTCTTTTGATTCCGTACGCAAACGGATTTTCATTGTATTGAACACGACGGAGAGTGCTTTCCTTTGATAAGTTTGCCATGTTCATACATGGAATCTTTAAGAGTAACAACTTGTAGTCCTTCTAGATATTGCTATATCACCATAAATGTTTCAATAATCTCTGGTATTGGCTTAAGATGATTTGCATCTATTCCCAAAATAATAATGCCATGATGTTGATACGTATCAAAACCTCGCAATGAATAAACATGATCACCTTTATTTACGTCAGATGAATCTATATAATGCGACCAAACTACCATATTTCTGTTTGAAGTTTGTGGAAGCTGTTAAGTATTTATAATAAGAGTTTATAATTAGTGGTTGGTTTTTTCCTGTTATTTTTTTGACGAAATATGCCATGATTTGCTAAAGTTGTTCGGAAAGTAGATTTTTTCTTTCTATCTCAATCCCCGACGTATTGTGGCTGTCGGGAAAAAACCAACTGTTAACAGTCAACAAACTGCGTCATTCTCCATTCTCTTATCTATTTTTTTTTCTTAGCAAATGGAAGCAGCCATTGAAGTGTCCTTGTAAAAACGCACAAACCTTTATGCAAAAAAAAAGAGAATACATTGAAATCGCGCAAGATGCAGCTCATTCTGTCAAATCGTATCGAATTTCAGGATACAACGAAAAGTGTAAATAGTTGGTTCGTTGCAGCACCTAATTATTGAAACCCAACAGGTTTTTGAAACCTTCCAATAATTTTCCGTGTCGGATGTAATTCAGATGTGTGGGTGCAAGTGAGGGTTGTCGGGTGTATGGGTGTGAGTGTGGGCGTCTCGTTCTCAACCCACATTCACACCTCACACTCCACACCCTCATTATTTCCTCATTCTTATTAAGAAAGTAAATGACCCAATTGTTGCTTGAAATTAAGCGAGATATAAAGAAATTAATGATGCACTAATGCTTTATCATTAAAAAAAATGTGCTCTTAAACCTGGTGAAGATGTAATCTTTTATACCATGTCGTGGAATGATTGGAGTCATAACTATAGAACATTGTGAAGAACACATTTTACCATGGTATAAATTAGTTTCTACATAGTAGGAGAATCTTAATTTGTAAAAGTTGATGAAGAAAAAGAATTTTTTTCGGTTAGTTATAAACGATCAAGTCAAACTACCAAAACTTCTTTCTGTTGAATAAATAACTATAACATAATGCTATTGAGATTCAACGAAAACCTTTCTTAAAAGTTTCATATTCTGAATAAAACAACTTATTAGAATTACAGCTTATGTCTATCGTTAATAAAAGATTCAAAAGTGAATCGATCTTATTTGCATTGCCATATAAAAATCTAAAGTATAATACTTTATTCATTCTGGAAATGTTACAAATAAACTTTATCTTTTTTGTATACATCTCTACAGAACCAAAGAATGAGAAACAAATACTTAAATATAAATAGATGAACTACGTATTCGGTTAAACAAAATTATAATTGTCGAATTTGTTTTTATTTTCAATCTGCGTTCTTTTGATCAAACTGACAAGTGGTTTTCATGTTGGAGAAGAAAAGAAATATTTCCTTTCTAACTGGCACAAACCATAGTATGATGTATAAATAGAACTGCTACTATTTTTCTTTTTATTTCATTCGATGTATGCTAACTGTGCAATGACAACACTTTCGATCTCAGGGGACAACCGATTTCAATACAGAAAACAATCTATTTTTTCCATCTCAGAGATTTAATTGAACTGAATTTTTTTTTATTCTAGAAACAATAACACAACAAGTTTTTTGTATGATATTGAATAAAAAGAAATGAAAAAAAACTAGGGCACAGATGGAGACAAGTCTCAAACACCCAAAAAAATTCCACACGCATCCTTTACTAATTCTTTGTAATTTATTTCCAGTTACAAGCACTCAGAAAAATGTTGAGTTTATTTGTTGAAAACATTTTCCAAAAATTATAGTGACGATTGTTGAAAACGATTTGAGTTTCTTGTTGTTGTTAATCAACAATAGCGACTAGATAAAGAAGAAATTCAACAATTTTATTTCATGTCAAATATGCATTTTGACATATCGTTTCAAATCTAATAGTACTATTCTAATAAGATAAAAACAATTATGATAATTCATTATTTTCGTCTTTATCAACAAATTCTGAAAATAGTATCAGTGAAATTGCAAACAAGTGAACAATACTTTATTATTCCATTTGATGTCATGAAGTAAAGTAGTAGTTATAATAATTGACTAAAAGAATAAACGAAAATAAAGATTTTTATCAAATTTCGAAAGCTAGGGTCTTCAGACAATCGTTTATTTAATTTTTGAGCAGCCAGAACGTTCAGGTATCATTACGATGTAACAAATCATTCTCTACCAAATAAAATTTGTTCTATCTTTCTAGATTTGGAAATTTTTCATTAAAAATTTTCTGAAGGCCTCATCTTAGGAAATTCAGTAAGAACCTTTATGTTCGTGCATTCTTTTTGTAAAAAATGATCTTAATTTCAGACATTGTTCGAATTCTTTTTAGTCTCGTAATCAGGATAAAAAAAAACTTTATATAACAACTTTAATAATCATTATAAATTATGAAAAATCTTAACCAAAAAAAATAAAGTTTTATTTTATTATTCTTTACATACTTCTTATCAAACACATGATGTTACCGGGAAAAACATGTTGATTTAACAATAAAATATAACACATTGATTTATCAAGTAGCTAGTTTTTTATCTATTACGCTATTTAAATAACGATCATAAAATTTCGTTTGTGGGTCAGTCTTATATATTTGAGGTGATTTGATTGAGTCTCTCCAATCTTTACTTAACGTGTGTATAGTATGATAATCAGTTGAATTTGATCCATTATGGTGATCACTTGTAATAGGTGGTAGATAAGAACTTTGATTATAAATTGAAGGTGGAGGTGAATGAAATGAATTTTCTGTTCCTTGAAAAAAAGGTGTTCGTTCAGATTTTGCAAATGAAGCATCAATAACTTGAAATTCAGTATCAACATATTCTTTGGATGGTGAAAAATGAGGATGAGTATGATGATGGTGATTATGACGATGATGATGCTGATGATGGTGTTGCTGAGATTGAGTAGGAGAATGATGGTGATGATGGTGGTGCTGTTGTTGAGATAGAACAGGAGAACGATGATGATGATGATGATGATGATGAGAATGATGATGTGTTTTATTTTCATCAGTGGAATCGTTACTCTTTTTTTTGGAACGATGCTTGGATCGATGCACTGAAGCGTCAGAAGGTACAGTTAGATTATTTGAATCTCGCAATGGTTTCTCTGTCATGGATGTAACAGAATAATCATTCAAATTATTTTCAGACGTAGGTTTGTGACGGTGTTGTGAACTTCTTTGTCTAATTGGTCGATCCAAACGTTCGATATTATTAGCATCTTCCAAAGATGTATTTTGTTTTGGTGGTGATCTTTGTTCTCTATAATTTTTATATGATATTGGAGGTGATGATTGTGATACTTTCTGAACCGTTTCATAACGATGTTTATCTGAATTATATTTTGCAATAGATGTATCGTGGTTATTATGATGAGACTTTCGATGATGTCGGTGTGGTGTTGTTGGTGACTTTGTTAATGCAGATTCATGAACATATTTTGAAGGATCAACTGGATCATAAGGTATTAGTTGACCATCAGTAGTTTGACGATGACGCATACTCCAATCAGGATTTTTCAGTTTGTAATAATGCCAATAAGGATAGTAGTTATCATTCATTGCAGATGGATTGTTTTCAGGTAATGGAACCAGATTTCCTTGACCTGGTGGTGCTTTACGAACAGCTTTTTTTCTTTTTTTTTCTTCCTTTTGTGCATTATTATATTGAGTAGCAAGTGGTATACCATTTTTTGGTAAATCATTATAAGGATATCGAAGAGTATGAGGTTTCTTTTTTGGTAAACCGGTACGCAATACGGGTGGTGTTAATAATTCTTTATTATTTGGAATAGATGGTTGATTATTTTCACGCAATGATATAATAGAAGACTTTTCTGATATATAAGTATCTTGGTCATCACTAAATATCGATTTTTCATTTGACTTTGGTGCATCCCAATTCGTTAAATATTCTTTTTTTAATTGGTACGTCATAGTGCTTATTATTAAGTAGAAAAAATGAATGAATCAATACACTTCTTCGAATTAATCCGATTTTTTTTTCGAGTGGAATAAATCAGCATTAGCAGCATGTGTCGCTTGACGATGCACACCTTCCAAACGTTATTAAGAATAACAGAACGTAAATGCAAACAATTGTTAAATCAACATGAAAATGGTATCATACTCGACATCACAAGGTGTATGCTAATTGTAGTTAAGATGTAAAAAAAAGCAAGAAATAAGTGAATTTATACAAGTTTGCATCAAGATTTGATAGAGCTGCAGCATAATATATATATACTTAACATGTTTAATTGATGTTTTCATGTTTGCTTGAGTAACTTATTTGAATTTTTTAATAACTCTTCATATAATTATAACATCTTTTCATAAGTACTTTTCGATTTATAGAAAAAGCTTATCTTATAAAACAAGAAAAAGAAAGAAAGATTAATATAGCCACTTGTGGTAGATCAACAGTGTAGGTTGTTTTTCTTTCCTTAGTCAACATCGCATGAAACGTGTTTAACTATTCGTTTTGTTGTTGTTTTGAAGCAATACGAATAAGGTCATAGTTTATTTCATGTTGTTTTCTTACCAATCATTTTACGGTATAATATCCATATATTTAAAGTTTTTAGTTCAAACTTTTTTTGAGCATTAATTAGTGTTCGAGAATTTGAATGACATATCTGTTTTCTTTCTAGATCATAACGAAAAACAATGTCGGAAGAGGATAATAATCTTCAAGCAAGGTTACCATTAAAAGATGTTCCTATCGAACTTCAACAAAAAATTGTTGCTCTAGATGGAAAACCTGATCTTAATCTTTATAAAGTCTTATCAAATAATCCAACACTTCTTTCATCTTGGATTGATTTTGCTTATTCATTGCGACGTAACTGTACAACATCACGGCAACTTCGTGAATTAATGATTTTGCGAGGTGCACAACTCTGTAATTCACAATATGAATGGTTTCAACATGAAAAAATGGCAAAACAATGTGGTATATTAATAGAAAAGATTAATTCAATTCAAGAATGGCAAAAAAGTTCTCTTTTTGACGAAAAAGAAAAGGTGGTACTCGAATTAATGGAATCATTAATTCAAAACAGAGGAACGATCAGTGAAGAATTGGACAAACAATTAAAGAAACATTTTACAGAAGCGGAATATTTAGAATTAATTTTGACAGGAAGTTTCTATGTTATGGTACCAACAGTATTAAAAGCACTGCAAATTCCAATCGAAAACTAAAACTTTATTTTGTAGCTTCCATTTGAATTATGATTATAATAAGTTATTTTTGCTAGTTGATCATTTCCTTTTATAAATTGCAATTAATTTTTTTTCGTAATCAGTTTTGAGATCATTTTAAGATCTTACAACATCATAGTTGATGGTCTTGTACTAATGAAGGTGTAGATGCGAGCTTAAAGAAGAGAAACAACTGTATCCTCAAACGTAAACTATTGAACAATCACTTCTATTGATTTCAACTTTCGTGTGAATGAATATTGAATCACTTATAAATTAAAGAAATGTATACATCAGTTAGAATACTCACTCAATAAAAAAAAACATAAGGAAATCTACTGGTACATGAAATTTCAAATTTTGGTAAACAATGGAATTTATAGTAAAAACAAAACGTATTTGGAAGATCATCTGACATAGTATCAGCCATCAATTTTTTTATTATTTTATTTAGAAAAAATTAAAAAAAAATTAAATCAAAACATTACATCCAAAACTATCACAGAACAATGTAGAGTTTAAATTAATTATTATTTCATTTAAATCAAATTTATCTACCTGGTTATGATAGTCGCGGCGTATAGTGACATTTTTCTCTTTTAAACGAAAAAAGAACAGTACAAATAATGAGATATTGTCTGCAGTTGAAATTTATTCAGTCATGATCATTAACAAATTATCAATTTGTTGATTACAAAGTCTTCTATACATGGTAGATAAATATATTCTACAATGTGTTTAGGAAAAAACATGTAAAATTATTTAAATCAAATATGTAGCTATATCACATCTTACAGATTTTTGTTTTAACCAAAAAATCCTATATCGTTTTAGTTGAAGATTGAGCAGCGATCACGACGAATTACAACGGCGAAAGAAAAAATTTTATTCATCAAACAATCAACCAATCAGAAAATCCAAAAATGAAAAACACCGTTATAGAGAATGACAACCACGACATGGCTGTCCACATCAACGAAATCACTGTAAAAAATGCCTTGTGTCTTACTAGACAGCCCAAGTGTCTATTTTACATGAATTTTGCTTGAGCGTCTAAAATCGGTTATTCGTTGACACGTGACGTGTCTTCTTGAGACAGATAATGCGTCTTTTTGTTAGACATATAGTGTGTCTTCGTAAGACGCGTCACGTGTCAACGGATGACCGATTTTAGACGCTCAAGCAAAATTAATGCAAAATAGACACACGACCTGTCTTATCTAAGTGTCTTAATTTTTTAGAGTGATAAAACAGATGAAAATTTCAATGAATGAATTTGTTCCTGAACTATAGTAGTGATATCTCTTGGTCGTGATGGCTACGAATATTTTTTCGGATATCGCCTGTAGTAGCCATTGGAACGGCATGAAAAAGCCTGCATCGAATGAAGTTCTTGGGATTGTCTAAACTCATTTTGGGTGTACCTAACTCATGGCACCTTGTCTTTCATTACTCATTCTGCATATGAAACTCGAAAAGTTCTTGATAAATCAAAAAAACATCTTTGCAATATTGAAATCTTGAAGAATCACTTAAATCACTGAATCTTTAAACTTCCTCCAGTGTTATAGCTTCCATCTACCTGATGAACGACAAAAAATTTTGTTAAATAAACACACTATCCTCAACGAGTAGTTTTATGGAAAAAAGTACTTCGCACAAATTATTCAAGCACGTCCGGTGAATCCAGACATGTATGTTCGTCTAAAGTTTTAGTTCTCTTTGAATCTATATGATGTCGGTAACTAGGGAAAATATATAGGTATTCTATAGACTCTTGTCGACATTTTATAGCTTTTTATCTGTTGTTGGATTCTATGTAATATATGATTGGTCGTCGTAATAGCTTCATATCGATATAATAGTGAATGGAAATTAAAATCCAAGCTTTTTCTAGCTTCCGCTTCTTTCCAACACAAAAGTATGAACTGACTAAGTTCTAACATTTCGTCATAGTTAATAGAAGCTTCTCTAAATTCATTAAGATAAATAATAAATCATTAGAATCTTCTATAGTTTTAATGAATATGTACAACAAGCTTATTTTCTCCAACAAACCAATGTTTATACTAATAATACTATACTACGAGAATAAAATGAAAAAAAAAGACTTGTATTAGTATAGTCAATCTAAATAAGACATGTGACTTTTACAATTCAGCCCTACAAGAGACGTCGCTAACAAGCTATTTCATCTTGTTGATTTAATTTTTATCTTCTTCGGTCTCGTGACATGTTGCCGTCCTTGTCTTCTTATTCGCGAACAGCATCGAGGAAAATGGTTATCTGTGTTCTATATCTACAGCCGCAAAACAACCTTTTTTTGTCAAGTAGGCAAAAGATTTGCATCATATACTTCGTCTTCCATAGTTGTAAACCATTTTTTAAAACAGTTCGACCTTGACAATCGTATATACTGTCTGGATTTTTCCTAATGAATTAAACAAAGTTATCTATCAAATGTTTGACAACTTTTTTTAGTAAGGCAAATAATAAAGTCACCACCATTTTTAATGAACGTTGAATAAACAAGGATCAAGAAGAGGGGAGAGTAGCTGTATATCGCTTCCTTGCTGTATGAACATGACTCAATTGGTTTGGTTAAAACATGTGGATTTCATTAAAAGTAGTTCTAGAAATTTAGTTGGCTCCGTGGATACTCTGATAAAGAGAAAGTAGGTCTCAACCTTAAGATTCTGATTTTCACTGTAGATATGAATAAACACATATGACATTTAAAATAGTTATATTTTTCGTGGATAAGTATTTTATTGACGTTTTTTTTTCTCGAAAGTCTTTCTTGGCATCATTACTGTAAGATTTGAAAATAACTTTTTCCGATCGGCGTCATTATGATCGTTGTTTCATTTCTCCTATCGGCATTCTATATTCTTCGTCTATCGAGTTCCATTCGGGCGCAACAGCCAAATTCTCCCATACAACCACGCCATGTTCGTATCGATCATCATGACGTCGACACTCATCCTGATATCGTTGTTGAGACTCCGATTTTTTCCTGGTCGATCGATGATGAAAAGTATTCTTGCAATGATACTTCACGACGTGGCATCCATCAGACAGCTTATCGGTTGACCATTGTCAGAGAAATCAGTTTCTACTCTCCAACATCGAAACCCTTAGTCATCTATGATTCAGGACGTGTTATATCATCCGTATCCACCAATGTTTTATACAATGGTCCAGCTTTGACATCTGACACACGGTATATATATTCGATTCAATATTGGTCGTCTAGTGGTGCAGTTAGTAAACCAGTAAGTGGTCGATTTCGCACCGCCTTATTCAATCCGAAAAATGAATTGACGGCCAATTGGATAGGTTCGCGCCTAATTAATATGAATGAGTTGCGACGCGAATTTTATATTCCACAAAGCATTTTATCCGCTACTGTATTTATGAGTGGAATGGGTTACGGTATGTTATATGTTAATGGTGTAAACGTTGATCCTTCACGTCGTCTAGATCCTGGGTGGACAACATATACGCAACGTGTTCTGTACGTTTCGTATGATATTACTGAATTTTTGAAAGGTCAATCAACTAACTGCATCGGTGTACGATTAGGACTTGGATTTTATACGCATGAACAATGGGGTGGTGGAGTTCCTGCACCGGCTCCAGAAGTATTTGGTCCACCGCCAAGACTACTTTTACAAGTTAATATTGTACTTAGCGACCATACAACGATGAATATTAGCTCCGACACAACA